CGGGAGGTATGGCTGGCGCACTCGGTCGGAGCGGCTTGCGGAAGCTCCATGAATGTTTTGCGACGAAGGATTTAAACCAACTCCTGCGTGACGCGGCCGGGAGGGTCCCGCGCTGCCCTGGTGCGGTGCCGGACCGATGCGCTCGACAACGTATGATAAGCCAGGATCCGTACTCGGCGGCTTCATTTATTTTCCTTTTTATTTCTTTTTCGTCTTTTATGAAAAGTGGGACGGAGTAGAAAACTTAATCCGGGTCTCGATTGGTCGGTTAGCGGCCGCGCCAAGAAATTCAAGAAACAGTTGGGAATTAGCGGGAGTCGAAATTTTGAATTTTTGCACGCGCGGCTGTTTTTTGAACTTTTGCACGCCGCATCCCTGCGCCATCTTCCCTTCTTGCTGCGCACACCCTTCCTGCATGCCTCTTCATCTTCCCTCTAAGTGATGTCTGATCCCCTCCTTCTCCCTTCCCTGCGAATGATTGGTTGTCTGATTGGGATAGTCAGGTCAATGTGGTGGTAGCGGGAAACGCACCCCACTTGGACGACCACCCCAATCATGCACATCATTCGACTCGCTTCCTTCGATCCTTCAGGAACCTCTGCCCTTATTTTGTCCTGCTCATCTACACCCCGTGCTTCACGCAGCCTCTCCACCGCCTTCCACGCTATAAATTATCGCAACCCCTTCCTCTCACTCTCTTTGATCTCAGCTACAAGTTGCGCGAGCTATGAGCGAAACCCGCGGGGGGAAAGGCTCGACGTGCCTCGTAATGGGCGGAGTGACGGCGGGTGGCGGAGTTAGTGATAGACTTGGGGTAAGGCAGTCGGAGGGACAAAGAGGTGGTGGAGATCAGACGCCGACAGCGGCAGGGCCTTGTGGTTATGGTTGTCGGTGGTTTTGATGGATTGGGGGTTGGGCCCTGAGCGGCCAACTGTGAGAATTTTGTATTCTAAGAACGTGTTTTTTCTCCATTGCTGCTTTGTCTCTGTGTGATGTGTGCAAGGTCCCGATGTGTGGGTAGTTAGCTGTACGCATTTCTCAGGTATGGAAGTCTATGGATTTTAATGTCTCATTGTTCAGGAGGGCTCTATGAGTAGGCGTGTGTATATGCGCCTCCAGGCCTGATGATAGGAAGTACCGAGTGTCAATTGCTTGCATGAGTGCATGAGTGTGTTGGTCCTCCCTCCTGTCCTTCGCCCTTAACCTGCGTGGGTGTGCGGGATACACGCCAACCTCCTTCTGCTGTCCCTCTCTTTCATCGTGCGCAGGTCGGGACCCCAGGGAAGACGGATAATTTCAGAGAGATAGGTCGTTCACGTCCCCGAGAAGCGGCCGACATCTCTGCGCCCACCCTGGATCCCCGACACCACATTCGGGTTGATGCCCACAGAGAGAGAGACAGAGAGAAAGAGAGCTAGGCGCATCCTTTTTTGTGGTATTCGTTGGTCTTTGCAGGGAGTCAGTTCTGGTCTCGACGGACAGGACCGCGGGTCGGGGCCCGAGCTCGGACTTTGTCTTAGAACGTCGCACCGCGCTTCCGCCCTTCCCGATCGCAGATGACGATAGCGTATATTGCGATGCGGACGTGCGGAGCATACTGCGGCGCACTGAGCCAATTCATCTTTACAACCCAACCCGGGCGTACCACATAGGAGGGAGTGGGTTCGCGCTGATTGAGCAGTTTTTTCCCCCTCCCTTAATCCTGCCCTACACCGACCTCGCGATGTTGCCCTGGTCAGCCACGCGCGCAATGTGGAGGCCTCGGTTTAATTATCATTGGTGTCGCCAAAAAGACTCGTGCTTGTGGCGACGATTAGTCCTGGGGTACAAAGGGGCTGCCTGATTCCCCGAACTCTCCCGCAACGCGGGTTAGCTCCCGGCCCATTTTCGAACCTGGGTTCCCTCGACCTGCCCGACCCCGGGCAGCCCCGTGCCCTGCCGCCAACACGGGCTCAACGAGTCGGACACAGAAGCCTGAAACCCGATTCTGGGGCCTCCCCTCCAAAGGCCGTGTGAACCAGGCGCCTCGGGGAACGGAACTAAGTTCCGTGTCAGTTTTTTTTCTCTTCTCCTCTCTCTTCTCGTTTTCTTCTATGTGACGATGGTCGTGCCGTAGGGCACCGTTCTCCCGTTATTCGCCCCCGGCAACAGCTCAAACCCCTGTCTAGGCACCTCGGCCTGAAGCAAGAATCCCCTGTTTCGTCCGGGTGACTCAAACCCCACTGCCAAAAATCCTCGGCCACACCCGTAACTACTCTGACCGGCGTCTGACATACGGAATGTTGCGCAGGGCGTGAGGTTGGCGCATCACAAGCGTCCCTTGGATACACCTCTTCAATACAACATAATCACTTCCATTGGATCTCGGGTGTATAGACGTCTCTCTTCCCATCTTGAAGCTCCCTCTTTCCACTAGCCCAGCCCAGTGCCTGGGAAATGCAACATGATCTCACCCCTTGGCTCTTGGGGCTGCAACTTTCACTTTTCCTATCCTGAGGTTCCGTCTTTTCCAATGGTCCTGCCCAGTTCCTGGTATTTGCAATGCATCCCTTCTTATCCCGGAGCTCCCTTTTCCCATTAGCCCAGCCCAATTCCTGGTATGTGCAACCCATCCCTTAGCGTTCTAGAAGTCCCGCCCCCCATTTTCTTTTTTTCTTTTTTGAAACTTCGTATACAAGGAACCTACTCAACGAGGTGATGAAAGCATCCCTGGTAAGTAGGTCCCCGCGTCGAAAGGCTCCATCTATTGGTGGGGAGCTACACCTGCTGAAAATCGGGTCCAATGTCCCTGTACAATGATGTGAATGTATCTGCTGGAAATCGGGTCCAGCTCGTTTCCTTGTAGCCCGGTTACCCTTGATTCCCTTTCCTTCACCCTAGTTCCCTTCCGGTGTTCTTCCCTGTCTGCCTGTGACTTGTACTTCCATTCGTCCTTTGTCGATCTTTGTTTGGGTAAGGTTTGGGTAAGGGAGTGACCGAGGGGGGGTTCGGGAGAAAGGAGGCCCTGGCCGAAGGGGCACTAGGGGAGGTGAGGGATTAGGGGGGGGTGCAAGGAGCGGTGACCCTCTGCAGGGCACAGAGTAAATGAGGGCGGTGTCGCAGGTCCATTTGTGCTCCTCAACCCTCCAGTTCTTCCATTGCAATTACTCCCCTTGTACTTCAGCCAAGACTTTACCAGGGCCTAGCCATTCTTGTGTGAATTGGTCTTGCGCCTCTCTGATCTTTTGCTGCTTCATGGTGGGTGTGAGCAGCGGGTCATCTTCAATAACTTTCTTTCTCTGCCTAATCTGGTCCCATGCCACTTTGGTCCTTGCTATGAGATAGTCAGCTATGTGCTCCTTTGCCTGTGGGAATCCAAACGTATGAGCACGTGCCTGCCATGCCACCATCAAGATTTCTATTCTGGTGATATGAAACAGATTTCTTTCGTAGCAGCAATCTAGGCAGCCATGGGAATTGAGTACCTGTCAGGATTGTCCATGCGGCCTCCTACCATCTCCAAATCTGGGTGACCATGAGGCAGCCTAACAGACAATGTTCAGGGGTGGCTGGGGCTGCGGGCAGGATCTACCACAATATTGACAGATGGGGGACCGGCAACCTTGTTGCTTTAGGTCCGTTCTGGAGACCAGCCAATCCGGTGAGGGTAGGCATTCAAAGAGGATCTGCCACTGGAGGGTTCTATGCCATGTTGGCATTCTGTGCGAGCAGTGCAACCATCGGAAATTCTGCAGGTCCTCCGCCCGCAGGATTGAGTCCCTTGCCCGTCGTCATTTGATTGAGTGGTGGGATGATTCGCTCTTGTGGACAATGCGCATGTACCTGATAGACCCCCCCCCAGCCAGGTATGATAGTTGTATGTATATGTGTGCCCAGAGGCAAGCGATGTCTTTTGTGCATGCCCGGAGGCTATGTATGCTCTGTGTAGCTGTATAGCAGGATGTATGTGCCCGAAGGCCAGATATGTGCAGTGTATGCAGATGTATGCTCGTGATCTATGACATGTGACTGGAAGACTATACCATATGAGCAACAATCCCGAATGGCACCTATGTGTGATATGCCAGACTGGGGAGATCAGCAGAACAACCACAACCAACAGGAACAAGCAACCCACGCAGCATCGGGACCCGACATACAACACTCTGGACAAACCTTGGGTGCGGATTGGTGGACTCGGTAGTAAAAGAGAAGAAGTGCGTGGCAATGATGGATACGGGCGCTGAAATGAACATCATTAGGGAAAAAGATGCGTTCATGCTTGGGATGGAGATCGACCGTGCAGATCACGGCGTGCTGCACRGAGCTAACTGCAAGGCAGKTTTTTGTGGCACCGCGTCGAATGTAATTATAGAGATTKGTAAGGTGCGAGCGAGGACGTGCTTTTTCGTCATGCCGGACGTGGACCACCCTATCCTTCTGGGCAGATCGTTCATGTGCAGGACAGAGACCCTGATCTTCAATAAGCACGATGRAACGATGATACTGCTCCTKAGTGACCCAGCCTGTGGGAACTACGAAATCGTCATCTGCCGAAACATGGGGCCAGGGAGCGAGCGGAATAGGCCTAACCCCGGCTCATTCACCTATGTGGAATCGGAGAAYGAGCRGCGGAGGCTCGCGGAGGAGTCCGAGGAGGAAAGTGGGGCGGAGGTGCTGTCACTAAGCCTTACAGACRTAAGCAAGGCTATGGAGATCGTGGTAGCGCATGAGATGGCAGACCCGGAGGCCATTAAGGCCTTGCGAGAGCATGTTTTGGAATGCCTACAGGCARGAGAAGTGAAGCTTATCTATCGACTTCCCGGAGGAAGAAAAGGGTCTGYGATGGCGCAAGCACAAACAACAAGCCGACCTTTTTTAGGGGACGGCTTAAGCAGGGCRCCCAAAGGCGGTACAAAACGGTAGATAAAAAGTGTCGCCCTGTTTCCGTGCTCGTTACGGAAGATGAAGAGGCTTATTACGAGCGGRAGCGAGGATTGATACGGCGGATGCAAGAGTAGGCACTAAGGGATCCATGTCGTATCAATGATGGAAATGAWGAGAAGTTAATAGTCGGGGAGCCTGGGTTTCTTTCGCCCCAGGAAAGGATGCTGATGGTGCAGCTAATGAAGAAGAGGCATTGCACGTACRCCTTTAATGACGACCAGCGAGGGAGGCTGGATGTGGACAAGATCCCRATGATCCGGATCCACAMGGYCCCCCACGAGCCCTGGAACCTAAGGGGTGCGCGATACCCAAACCCTGATGAGGAGAAGATGGTGGTGGACTATCTGGATGGCAAGATGCGCACGCATGTTGCCGGCTACTCTAGCAGTCCGTATGCTTCTTCTTGGTTCGACTTTATTACGCCGAACAGGACGCTACGGTGGGTACAGGATCTGCAACGACTAGATGCGATAACGGTGCGAGATGCGGGAGGCTTGCCGAACGCAGATGCACTGTCAGAGTCATGCGCAGGGAGGCCTATAATCTCACTTATAGACCTCTATTCCGGGTATGATCARTTTTYTGTATACCCGCCTGATAGGCCGGTGACGGCAATGCACACGCCAAGGGGGTTAATCCACATGAATGTGGCCCCTCAGGGTTGGACGAATGCGGTGGCGATGGTGCAAAGGCATATGATCAGGGTCATGCAAACAGTCAGTCCGCACATCACTCAGCCCTATATCGACGACTTGGCAGTCAAAGGGTCAAAGGAGAAAGAGGAAGACGAGGTGCAGCCCGAAGTAAGGCGTTTTGTTTGGAGGCACATCCAGGATCTCGATCGAGTCTTGGGCCTGCTGGAGGAGTACAATCTCACTGCAAGCGGGCCAAAATCCAAGCACTGCATGAGAGAAGCTACTATCCTGGGGTTTGTCTGCAACGAGAAGGGTCGGAAGCCAAACGTGAAGAAGACAGACAAAATCTTAGAGTGGTTGGTGCCTTTCGAAACCATAACGGATGTGAGAAGCTTTCTTGGCACCTGTGGATTTTGGAGGAGCTTCGTGAAAGATTTCGCCGCCAAGACTGAGCATTTAAGGAAGCTGGTGCACCAGGACCAGGAATGGGTTTGGGTCGAAGACCAGAAAGAAGCGGTGACCAGGATGAAGGGAGAGTTCAGGGAAGGAGGATTGGTGCTGGGGGCACAAAACTATGAGGAGACTGAAGAAAAGCCGTTCATCATCGAGACAGACGCTGGGCCAACTGCATTAGGAGGGGTTTTGATCCAGGCGGATGCCGAGGGAAAGGAGATGCCGCTAAGATTTGAAAGTCGTACTCTTAACACGACTGAGAGGAACTACTCTCAGTTTAAGAAAGCGACGCTTGCGGTACTCCATTGCCTAAGGATCTTCCGGAATTAYGTCTTCGGCAGGAGATTTATATTAAGGGTGGACCCTACGGCGYTGGCCTGCTCTCTGAAGAATTATACACCATCTGACCCAACCGTCGCCCGATGGTTAACGTACATTTGGATGTTTAATTTCGAGTTGGAAAGGATCTCGGRAAACAAGAATAGAKTTGATGGYCTGAGMTGCGTCAACTAGGACAGTGTGGATCAGGGGTCGACCGAAGACACCCCGCCAGTCGACGGGTTCCTGGATYAGGAAGAAGATGTGYGACTCCATATAAACAAGTGGGCGCTGCGAGTAYCCAGTTGTGTTAGCCATCCCATATGGATAGCACCAAGAGGATATGAGCGGAAAGCCGACTTAATCCTGAAGCCATTTCAGGAAGAAGATCCGTGGGGAGGCAAGGACACCCAGTGAATGATGAAGTTGGCGTTGGCTGGGACACATGGCTTGGTGGAAGAGGTGAGGACAATAGAGGAAGGGCCTACTCAGGTAGAGGAGCATGAACAGCTAATGGGAGGGATGTATCTTCTCGCTAATACGCTCCTGCAAGGGGACTTCGACCGGAGAGGCTCGTTTAGTCATGAGGATAATGAAATCCTGATTCCTGAAAGCCAGGACGATGAGTTCGAGGAGGGGGAGATTAAGGAGGCGTTTCGGGCGGAGGAGTATGATGGGATCTACCGGGAGTTGGGGTTTGTCCTATCATGTGAGATGAGAGATAGAGACGCAAGTATCAAAGCGCAGAAGATGAGGCATTTCTACGTAGTAAGAGATGGCCATTTGTTCATAAAGCAGCAAGTCGGGAACCCCAAGAGGATCATATGAGGGAGGAACCGGCAGATTGATATCATAGCAACCCTACACGATGGTATAGCAGGAGGGCACAGAGGGATAGGTGCCACATGCGGAAAGATAAACGAGCTCTACTATTGGGATGGAATGCTGACGATGGTCATCAAGTACTGCCAATCCTGTGTACCTTGCCTTGAGAGGTCAGCGCAAAGGCCGAGAGAGCCCCTGCACCCAAGGCTGGAAAGGGAAGTGGGTGCGGTTGTACACTTGGACCTGTTATTTATGCCAGTTGGGGAAAATGGGTGCAATTATATCTTCGATGCCCGGGATAACCTTACTGGGTTTGTGGACGGTCGGGCTATCCGGACGAAGACTGACCCAGTTTTGACAAATTGCATCGAGGAGTATTACCTGCGCTATCCTTTCGTCAAGGAGTTCGTGATGGATCGAGGATCGGAGTTTACCTGCAATGAGGTGCGAACCTTGCTTGCTGGGTATGGGGTAGTGGTCAACTATACTACGGTCGCGCACCCTCAAGCAAACGCTCCTGTGGAGAGGGGTCGCAGTACCATCACGAATCTCTTGGCTAAGTGGACAGAGGGCAAGCCTGGTCAGTGGCCGAAATTCCTGCGAGCGGCTTTCTTCGTGGAGAATGTTACTGTGAAGAGGACTACCAAGTATGCGTCAGCCACGCTATGGTACAAGAGGCACGTCATATTTCCTATAGAAAGCTTTATGAAGACGTGGAGGCGCCAGGACTTGGAAGTGAACCTGCCCTTCGAAGAACTGCTTGATATTCGGGCGCGGCAAGTGGGGGCGGCCGAGAAAAGATTGCGAGAGGCCGCTGGTCAGGTAGAGAGAAGCCGCATGGAGGATAAGATGAGGTGGATAAGATGAGGTGGGACATGATGGCGCGCGTAAGGAAGCAGTCGTTGGCAGTAGGGGACGCCGTGTTACTATACGACTCGTCTCTGGAGACGCAATGGTCGAGGAAGCTCGACAAGAGATGGATGGGGCCCTATAGAATTGTGCGATGCGGCGAATTTTGGGCATACCAGATCGAAGAGCTAAACGGATCTGAATGGAAGGATTGGGTGTCTGGGACGAGACTAAAGAAGTTCGTGGCCAGGGAATAGGTTAAGTCGCGATCCCTCCCAGAGTAGACCCTTGTCCTAAGTATTGCATGCCATGATTGGAATCGAAGAAAGGCTTGATGTGTATGAGATTGGGTGTATATTTGCTCTGAAGACTGTTGAGCGCATATGCTGATCTTGTCGTGTGCCTGTTTGCTTCGTTTCGCCTGATGTGCAGGTTTGACTTTTTGAAGGCAGCCATGTAGAGGGGTGGGCGGGGCACTCGGCCACGACAGAGACCTCTCGGGGCATCCGGAGGGGAGGAGCGGCATGGGCCCTTCAGGAGAGAGCCTACACCCGTGTTTGATGACGACAACATCGAGCTCTTCTTGGACGCCTATCGAGAGCATGCAGCCCAAAGAGGATGGGACGTGTCTGAGAGGATACGTCACTTGAGGGGAATTGGGAGGTTCGAGGAGCCCATTGTGCAAATCAGGGAGGAGGCCCTGACCTGGTCAGAGGTAGAGGCAAGGATGCAGAGATTGAGAGCTTCACCTTTGGGGAGTGATGGGCTACCTATCTGCTTGGAGGAAGGGAACGTGGAGGAGTTCATCCCGGCATACGAACAATATATGAGCGATCAGGGGGTTCCGAGGGATGAGTGGGTGCAGGCGCTACTCATTTGGACCAGAGGAGCGGAGCGTCCGCTGGCGAGGCAGATTCGGGGTCGGGCACGAGATTGGGAGGATTGTCGGGCTCAGTTGAGGGAGGCGTTCCGGCGGCCGGAACCAGAGAGGCCAGAACCCAAGGTTGATAGAAGACGGCGGAGCAAGAGGTTAAGAGATTTGGAGGCAAGAGAGCCGGTGGCGTCGAGAGACGGTCGGAAAGCCTTGGCACAGCGGGAAGGAGGACAAGCAGGACTAACTAGAGCGGGGGAGTCCTTCCCTGCTTGTGGCCTCAGGCAGGTGGAGTTCCATCCGGTTATGGAGGGTGACTTACCAGGATCCTCGCCACAGGCACCAGATCGGAGGGAGAGCGAGGTACCGACAGCGCCGTTCAGGAGCCTGGAAGCCCACCTGGACGCGTCCCAGTGGGAGGCCCCTTCAGTAGGAGTGAGCCCTATGGACCCATCGGGAGAGGAGCGAATTCGCCCCGAGCCCGAGGCAGAGCCACTCCGATTGAAGGGGGTAGGGGCGAAAGATGTTATTATGGTGGAAGGTGATACTCCTCCCGACTTCCTAGCTCGAGTTCAAACGCGGCAGTCTTGGCCAGAGGGCGTCCTGGAGCCAGACAGCCAGGAGGCCCCAGTACCACCACCAGAAGCCGCTATGTCACCCAGGCAGGAGGTTGAGGCACGGGGACCGGAGGAAGGGTGGAGAGTTAAGCCCCGCCTAGTCATTGATTCACGTTTGGCCTCACATGCAGCTGAGCACCCTGACATTGAGGAGCCCAGCCTGGTTGGGGCATCATCAGGACCAGCATGTACTGAGTTAGAAGAGGGTTCGCAAGTTGTGACTGGGAAAGCCACGAAGGCAGGCACAGGAAGGGAGCCAGACGGAGCCGCCCAGGCAAAGCGTGCCAAGGTACGAGCTCGCCTTGCGGAGATACATGAGCGACGGGACAGGATGGAGGCTGCAGGGATAGTGCCAACGCCACCAGTCGACCCTAAGACGAATGAGCAGAGGATTGACGAGTTGTGGGCCAGATATGAGGGGCGGAGTGAGACAGCTCGCCAGAGGGCACAAGAGACGAGCCAGGCATCTGAGGGTGCAGACGAGGCAGTAGAGATTGGGGAGTTGGGTTTTGTTGCCACTAGAAAGGTCATCGAGTGGGTGGACAAGGAGATAAAGCAGGCATCCATCACGGCCTTTCAAAGGTACTCGCTACTCAGTGATGAGCTGGCCCTCAGGAAAGAGGAGGTGGAACAACTGACTGCCCAACTCGCAGAGGAGAGGGTCGAGAACAAGGCCTGGCAAACTCGCCTGGAAGCAAAGGAGGTTGAGTGGGAAGCAAAGCTCAAGGAAATGGCGGCAGCAGTGGAAAGATTTGTCGCTACCAAGGTGATCGACTGGACTGAGCAGAGCAGGTACGGCATCCAAGGCAAGGGGGTGCAAGGGTTGTTTGGCCAACAGGAGGCAGCAGAGGCATCTCGGCAAGAGAAGTTGGGGAAGGTATTTTTTGACCGAGCTGAGGCAGAGGCAAGAAAGGAAGCCAACAAGGGAAGCTTTGAGTTCAAGGCTCCCACTGAGCTGGCCTCGCAGCCAGAGGCCCCTACTTCGGCAGATACCCCTATGGAGGCGCTGACCCAAGAACCCCAACCTGCACCAGTAGAAGAGGGGGCGGCTGAGGAGTCACTAGCGATCCTTCTGGACGTACAGGAGGGGACTCTCACTGGAGCGGTGGAGCCTCCACAGCTTAAGGCACAGGAGAAGGAGCCGTCATGTCTGGACGAGTTGGTAGCTGCCATGGAGGTGGATATGCCGCCGAAGGAGCCTCAGGAGCAAAGGACCCCGGAGCATGAGCCAGAGATGGGGGAATTGAGGGCACAGCTGGGCTCGTGGGCCATTGGGACCGATTCGGGAGGACCGACTACTGATCAGCGGCAGCAGGAGGCCACGAGCCAGCCTACTATAGCCGCTACTCCCCAGACTCCGAGGCCTCACGAGAATGAGGAAGCGGCTATGGCAGAGGGAACCCGCGAGGGCAGGCCACTGAGGTTGGATACCCCTGAGTACCAGCCCGAGGGAGAGATGCAGCGAGGGGAATTAAGTGCCCAGAGAATCGAAGGAGCTGAAGGACCGTGGCACCTGCCCCAGAGTCATGAAGCGAGCAAGGAGAAGGAAGAGGCACCTCCGTTATCAGGAACCCAGAGAAAGAAGAAGAGATTTCAGAGAAAATCGGAGGTTATGTGTTTCTATTTCCTGGATGGTGTGCATAGGGCCCAGGAGTGTCCTAAGTTCCTTAAGGACAAGGCTGAGGGGCGGGTTACCGAGCAGGATGGCAAGATGTATGATAGACAGGGCTGAGTGGTAGAGAGGGCTCCGGATGGGGGTCGAGCCTAGTTGTATAGGTAAAACCAGGAGGAGATGAGCGAGTAAGGGGCTGGTTCGCCTGTATGCCAGTAGAAGTGAGGTGTTTTTTGTATATAGAAAGAGCGAGTCAAGGGCACAGGGTATCACGAGTCAGATACATGTATCTTAGGGTGTTATGTACGACCAAGGGTCAGTGTACGGTAAGGATTGAGGTTCTATCCGTGTTACGATCCCGGGGACTGAGACTCAATTGTGTGATACTTAGAACACCTAATTGTATTGTTTTTGTTTTGAGCTCAGGGCCCACCTATAGGTGATGTAAGAGTCAGTGACACCTAGGGTATGGGTCCATTGGATGTGAAAAGGGACAGAACACTTGAATATTGATGTTGGGGTTTGAGAGATATTCTATTGTTGGGTATATACCGAGTGAGGTGTTGAGACTACTTCCCTGTGTTTGACGATCACTCCCACTCTCACATGTGTGGTTTTCCGATATATGATGATTTGTGTGGGATTTGTGTGACAAACAGCTCATATGCTTATGCCTTGTGAGCAAATGTGAATTGTCTACTCTTCGGTATACTTGTGCGACATGCCCATGGGCAGATGCTAGAGCCGAGTATAAGGAGAGGAAGCGCAGTCTGTTTTGTGGAAAGAGTTGTAAGGATCCCAAAGGATCCCTGAGTCCATGAGACTCGAAAGCTTATCATGCCAAGTGTGTTACGTGTCTAAGTTGTGTTGGAGACCCATAAGTTGGACTCCTGTTTCGTATTATTGTTATGGTTAAGTTGTATCCCATGCTTATTTGGGGGGACTCATCTTCAGGAAATGAAGATGTTTGCGAGGGTCATGGGAGAGCTCATCCTGGAAAGGAAAGGGTGGCTGACAGACCTATTGAATAGAACCTCCTTCATGGGAAGGGCGGTTAATAGATCTAATGGCATGACAAGCCGGGTTGGTAAGATAAAAGACTGACGAAAGGAACCAGGTTCTGCTGGCCACTTGACGAGATTCTGAGAATGTCGCAAAATGTTTGATTTTGAGAGGTGTCATTGAGATGTGTGACGCTCTTACTCTGATCAAGTTGGAGATCACGGCCTAGTGGGTCTGGCGGTGCTCTTGTTTGTGAATGTGGAGAGGTTGCCATGTTTCGTCTGTGTTGTCCCACAAGGGACTGGTAAATACCTTTCGTGTGCGACAGGCCTAGGCGCAGTCTCGCAATAGGCCTGTATTGTTGCGACGCACTGTCCGACCGCTCGTGCTAATCTCAAGGCACATAACGAAGACCAAGCTAAACGGTAAAGTTTTGGCACCACTAGGGCGTAACCCCTAGGGATGGCCGCGGGCCGGCACAACCTGGCCGCGGGCCCACGTCTGACCACGGGAGTAAAGGCTTAAAGGGTGTGGCCACTTGAGAAGGTTTTACCCCTGTGGAACGGCCTGGGATAGGAGTCGAGTCATACGAGTCTTTTGGGAAGTCCTGATTGAGTGCTTATCAGGAGAAAGCCTATCGTGGCGCAACCTGCGAGGGCACTACCGCTAAAACAACAACGCGGTGGACCGTAAATCTGGTCTGATCAATCAGACTATGGTGGGCCAAGATGGAGACCTAGCACTTCCGAACTAGACTGCAGAAGCCGCTGAGAGAGGGTTGAGGATGCACATGAATATGCGTTTGATTGTGAGGATTTTTTGAGAGAAAGGCGAAGGAGCCTTCAAAGGTCTCGGTTAGGGCCCGCGTTCCCGGTTATGACCCTGCTTACCGGGTAAGGGTTGGGGACACCCAACGAGAGGCCGACGTTTGTCTAGGACAAAGGAGGAGAGGGCGGGTATAAGGGTCTTTGGAACTTATGTTGTAGTACCGATGCGTAGTACACCGGTGTCCTTGTGTCAGGACAGTGGAGACCCAGGTTGAAACTCTGGCAGCATAAAGTTGTGTGGGCATGGACGGCGGGGGACCTCGAACCCAAGTTTGTCGACTGATCGGACTGGTTCCTTCTCGTCAATATTTTGTTGTGTGGATGGATTGATAGCTTTTCGATCTTCCGAAGCGACAGGGACGTCGCTTAATATAGTCCGGTAGGCTGTCGGCGCAAATACCCTTGCAAGGCTATCCGCCCCGGTTTTTGCAAGTGACAGCGGGGCCGAGGGTCCAGGCCTGTGTGTTCAAGCGGCTACCTATGTATGCACCAGGGTTGTCTAAGTAGGTAGGGTGAGTGGGCGCGCAGTTTCGAGGCGCTCGTGTGATTTTGCCCCTTTGATTGTACGGGCGGCATAGACGTCCGGTCTAACTTAGCCCCGGTGATTAGATTGGGAGTTAGGGGGCGGGCCCTTGTCCGCTGGGCTGACCAATGGCAGGGTCGGCAGGTAAGGCGGCATTGACACGAAGCGGCCGCAACACCGTTTGTAGGAAGGGGTGAGCTGTTAGGCCTGTTTCGGCCTCAGGCGCTGGGCCGCACCACTTTATGTGGGATGCAGCGCCTGCTAACCCCAGGCTTGGGCTTAGCCCTATAGGTTATGGCGTTGGGTTACTACTACGGAGGTGCGGAGTTCGGTGTCTCTGCGCGAAGGTATGGAGTTCTGGACCCACACCCTCAAACCACAACGCCCATTGACAACCGACCCCTAACCACTGAGCTACAGGCCATGGGCCCATCTCTCTCCACAGCCTAGCCATACTTGGCCAGATGGGGTCATTATTTATGTCCCACTTCATCTGGCTTTGAGGAGAGGCGGGTTGTACTAATGCGGAAGGTCCCGGAATCGTCTTGGCCGATTTAGTTAACCACTTGAGAGGGTGGAGCTGTTTATCATGGGGGGGGGAAGAGGCCAGATTTGCAATCTGTATACAGGCGTACGGGGACCACTGTCAAGACTTCATTTCCCAGAAGCAGCCAAGTTATCACCTTGAAGGAGAGAGTATTCAGTTGATCCTATGGCTAGCCTCCCTTGTGTTCTTGGCTGAGCTATGAGGTCCCAGGCCACCCTCGAGAGGAAGGACGGGTTCTGATGGTTGTTTTTCCATATATAGGCTGCAGTTGCACTTTTTCACCTTCGCAGCTGATTGGGCTGTATGGGCCAGCATGTTGCCTTGTACCAAATGGAGGAGAAGATTGTCGAGTTGAGAGCCAAGGCCCTCCCCACTATTGATATGTGCAACTCCTTACATCTGACCATTCTTCTTAACTCTTCCTCCACCAGTGTGGCTCCATGGTTTTGTGGGGGTCCTGCTGCAGAGAGGTGAACCCCTAGTGTCCTTACCACTTCCTCTTTGCTTTTCCAAGCTATGGCCGGATGTACCAGGGGCTGTTCACCACTCGGGTGGAGCCATCCGCCCTCAGCCTTGCCCCCCCAGTTAACTACCATATCCAATTCGATCGAGAAGCACTCAATTATTTCTACCAAAATCCATAGGGAAGATTGGTTAGCCTTTAGCAAAACAGTGAGGTCATCTGCAAATAGTGAGGCGATCAGGATAAGGTGGTGGGGGATCTCAAATACAACCCACTGACCTTTGTAGCAAAAATGGCTCAGATACGTGACCATTTACCATAACGTTTGTTGTATTGGTCCGTTGCAGTGTGTGCACCCATCTGCAAAAGGTCGAATCAAAGTTCATTTTCCAGTGGTAGCAGTTGAAGACGGTCCAATCCGCGTGGTCATAGGCTTTCTCGAAGTATGAAGATGACCGTCGTTTCCTTGCCTCTTTGCCTGGCGTATTTGATTGTCTCATTCACCAACAAGTTGTTGTCCTGGACATGCCTATCGAGTATGAAACCTGTTTCATCCAGGCGGATAAGGTATTTCATGTGGGGAAGCATGCGATTCGTCAAGGTCTTGGCTACCATCTTATACGAGACCGACAATAACGTGACCCATCTGTAATTACAAACCTCATTCTTTGCTGCCTTTTTCTAGAGGGGGTGGTGACCCCTTGGTTGAGCAGGCCTCCAAGCGTGCTTTCCATGAGGACGACATTAACATAGTCCATGAGGTCTGGTCCCAACACATCCCAACAGGCCACCCAAAATTATTTTGGAAAGTAGTCAAGAACCAGGTCAGGGCGCAGGTTGGCTTTCGTAGCTCGATCTTGGTTCATACTGCATCGCCAGATCGGTCGTTTTTGTAGAAGCTAGCGGGAGCTACTTCCATCAACAGGATGAGCAACGCCCCGAGCAACAGGCAAGTCTCTAACCTCGCAGCTGGCCCCACGCTACTTGCTTCGATGGCTGGTCCAAGATCGAATGAATTTGTCCGTAAACGCGGCTAGATTCACTCCATCATTAGGCACTAGTTAACTACTCCCCCAGGCGAAACTCAGAGCTACCATACCGCCAAACCTACCCATTAAATCCAAAATCCGACCGTGTCAATCGACTCGCAATACATGGACATTCCCGAAACCGATCTTCACTTGCTCGTTTTCAACAAGAAGCGAGCGAGTTTGAGCGATCATCTGCTCTAGCCATAGCCACGTTCCCCATATTCTCTCGCAAGCCTTTTCTTTACTAACTCTCCTTTTACTAACTTTCACCTCTTTCTGATCATAGATCCGGAATCGCCTATCACTAAAAACTTAGTTTAGTATCTTACTCAGCCTGATTCCTTGAAGGATCGGGCAAAATATTTAAAATTCTCCCGATCCTATCTAGCTCCTCCGGTACTTCCACGCGGCGCTTCTCTCTGCTAGCTCCCAATTTACTAACTAATCGCTAAAACTAACACCGCCGGTACATTCGCCCTACCACAAAACCCCCAAATCGCCCCTTTCCCCGCTCGATTCCGTGGTGAATCGAGTGAGCTACTTCTCTTTCCCCTTTCTTCATCTGCCATCTCCGCGCACCCTCCACTCTACTAATCTCTTCGTCTACTAACTTTCCTCTAAAACTAACGCTAGATTTTGAGCCGCCCGATCTAAAAACCTCGGAATGGGTTTTTAGTTCGCCTGAATCCGTTGGGGATTGGATGTGCTATGCGCTTTTCACCCCGTTAGCTCATTTTCTCCACTATTGCTTCCTCGTCGCGTTATTTGCT